TGCTGCTTGGCCTGCTGTGTTCATCCAGCTCTACACCTTGTTATCTTGGGATCTGGGTGTATTTGTGCATGTCATTAAAGGTGGCAGGACAGGTTGATGGAGCAGTTAATAAAGCCTAGGTTTCTTAGGTTCATTTATAGGGATGTTGAGTGTAAGAGCAAAGTTAAACTTGTGTAAGTCACTAGTTTGTTCTCAGTTGGAGTGTTGCAACCATTTCTGGGCACTACACTTTAGGAAAGATGTGAAGGTATTGGAAAGAATACAAAAGAGATTTATGGGAATAGATTCAGGTGTGAGTAATTTCAGTTATGAAGACAGACTGGATAAGCTGTGAGAGTTGTCCTTGTAGAAAAGAAGGCTAAGATCTGAGAGGAGATCTTATTGAAATGTTCACAATCATGAGAGTTCTGGATAGAGTAAACAGGGAGAAAATGTTCTCACTTGTGAAAAGGTTGAGAAGGGGAGGACAAAAGTTTAAAGTAATTCATCAGAGAGATGTGAGGAATAGTTTTTTCATGCAGTGAGTGGTTAGGCTGCGGAATGCGCTGCCTGATAGTGTGGGGGAGGCAACTTCATCCATGACCTTTAAAAATAATTTGTTACTTTTTAAGTAACTATCTATGTACAGGTTACGGGACAGAACCACTCGGGGGAATGCTCATTTGGAGAACTGGTACCAAAGAGACACTATGCACCAAATGGCTGTTTCCTGCACCATAACAGTTCTGTGAATAACATGTCAATCTTTCAGCTAATTAGAATTTCTGGGAATGCTGTTCATATTATCCATATTGCATCAGATTACTGAAACGTCCAATTTAAAAGATCCTAGATTTTCTCTTCACTGTTGACACTGATCTCTATCCATTTATAAATGAGCACCTAATTTCATGGAAGTAAAACTTTAAAAGTATATGTGCAGACATGAGGTTTAGATAATCTCGTCTTCTTCTTGGGCAGCCCCTCAGGATTGAGGATGGTTTATTTCCACTCTATTATGGTGAGAAAATGAGAAAATATCCAACATAAAGTTTAATTTCTCCAGTTTACAGATTTGGAAGGGAGATTATAATGATTCTGTTCACGTCTGTTACAGATTGTCTTGAATTTTACCACCATGGATCTCTTCAAGAGTCGCCTGTGCTGGTATGACTACATAGAAGTACGAGATGGCTATTGGAGAAAGGCACCACTTCTTGGTATTGAATTTTGTCCAGTTAGGACATTTAGCTGTGCCACTGAATTTGAGGTTTTAACAACAACCTTTTATTCCCCCGTAAAAATGATAAGATGTCACTTTTCCTTCTCCTACTACTCTTCCCCCCACCCCCAGCCCCTCTATCCCTCCCCACCCAGAAAAAAAGAAGATTGCAAAATTGTTCTTAAAAAGAATTTCCACTCCCTATGCATTCCTAGAGTTTTGGTAATGCTGGCATTTGCTGTCTATCATCCGATGTTCTGGAAAGGACATGCTTATTGCAATTACCTATAAACCTTGCGGCTTTGCAGGGTGGTTCAGAGGAGATTAAGGATTTTTGCAATGACCGAAAGCTGCCTCATCATTATGAGAATGGTAGATGAGTCTCAAAGTCAAAAGTTCTGCCACCAAACACAGCACCTATTATTGGGATGGGTGGCATTTCATGTATTTGTGTTTGATGGAGACAGTTGGCCATACAAAGGAGCAATTACCTCAGCCATGTGATTCTGATGACCTAGTTGGGTGAAATATGACATGCAGAGATAAGACTGGATAGGAAAATGTGGATTTGTTCAGATAATCAATATCCTTTTGGAGAGGTAGGGATATGGTCTTTGTATATGGCCCCAGAAAACCTTTGCATGAGGTTAGACACCTTTTGGAAGAAGTCAAGTATCCTTTGAGATTGTTGAAAGTAGGCATAAAAATGGCATAAGTCCTTTGGAACTGTCAAAAGGAATTGTTGAAAATGTCAAGAAGGACTGTGAAACTGCTATAATTTTTAAGGTCCTGCCCTTTATTTCATCTCAGCATGTGACCTGAGGTCTGCTTATGGAAATACTTGGGTGAGTTAGTATGGTAAGTGTGAGAGAAAAGGGTTGAGCTGGCAGGAAAACATCACCACATATTAGCTCTAAGATAGAATGGGGGCTGTAAGGGGCCAAGTGTGGAGTGGCATAGGTTGGCATGGAGGTTATGAGAGGGTATAGGGTGAGTGAGGCATGGGTCAGCAACGATTGTGGAGCCAGGAAATGCGCTGACTCTGCACTCCTTACCCAGGCATGAAAATTCACTCCAAGAGTCCTGCCCTCCTTGCAATTTTCCCCACCCCCCTTCACTGGATGGTAATAGTGCATGGGATTGATTAAAATTGGACAATTAAAATTACTAATTATGCAAGTGGCCATCATACGTTGCCATTCCCTAATTGCTCTTGCCTCTCAGGGACTTTTGATAGTCCTTTTAATCATCCTGCGTGGACATGTCTATGACACACCTGTGGGGAAAGTGAGACTTTAACCCGGTCTTTCTTGCCCAGAGGTAGGGGCAGTACCGTTGAGATACAGAACCTGTACCTAAATTTATGATCACAAGTGAATCCTTAATTTATACCCACCAGTTGAATACAAATAAAAAGTCACTCGTGCAATTAAGTCATTCTGGGTAATGCCCTTCTCATTTATTATGACTCTGCATGTAATCACATCATTAAAGATATTCAAGATCATTTCATGGGAGTAAAGAAATGTTTGAAACTTGATTCTTTAGGACACTATTTTACATGTTCACTAAATGTATTTTTATGGGTATAAACTCAACCTGTTTTTTTTCCAATTATGATCATTTGTTGCATGTTTCTTGATGTTTTTATTCAATTACTTTCTTTTACATTGATATTATGACCTATAATAATTGTAGGTTTTTATGGTTATCTATTTTTAACTGCTGAAACAAGTTTTTCTTTCATTGTATTATCTCCACTAATGCTCTCCTTATAAGTTGTGCTTCCTGTAAATGTCAGTGTTTTTAAGCTGGAGCAGCACAGGATATCACCGAGACCATCGTCAAAAAGTTAATTAATGTAGAAGATGGGACATTGTTGAAAACCTTTGAAATCTCAGCAAGGATGTCTATAGATGTTAGTTACCCTGTTAATGCTACCAGCATGATGTAAAATATATTCAAAAAACAAACAGAACTGGACAAGAAAAACACCCAAAAATGTTTAAATGAATCCCAATTATTGTTTTTACAATTTCCTCCAGAAAGAAAAGTGTAAAAAAAAAATAACAAATTTAGTCAGGTCTCTGGGGAGGGATCACCAGCAAGAGTAACGTTGACAAGAAGAACAAAATGAAGCACGGAAACAAACAGTAACATGGCCTACATTTAAATGATAAACTTTGCACACCCTTGTGTTTGTATTATTTTTTGATTCAATTGTTTTATAAATGTCATTTTAATTTTGTTTAATAATGTATTGAATTGTTTTATCTTAATATTTCTAAATCCAGGCAGGTATTGCGGTGATAAACTACCTGAAGTTCTGACTTCCAGCGACAGCAGAATGTGGATAGAATTCCGTAGTAGCAGTAACTGGGTAGGAAAAGGTTTTGCAGCAGTATATGAAGGTAGACTTTCAAATATATTCCTAGTGATTATTCACTTAAATACTAAGCCATTAGTCTAAAAATGATTATTTATTCTTAAGACTTGCTTTATATATGCTTTCAGGAGTTTCACTTCTCACTTAGTCAGTCAGTTATTTGCTGTGGGGAGAATCTTGCTGTTTACAAATCAGCAACAGTGATTGTACTTGAAAAATAACCATGTTCACAAAGGTTTTGGAGTGGCCTGAGCACATGATAAGGCTCTGGATGAAGAAACATTGAAGTGCTATAGTTGAACTTGGGACAGTTGTACCCTGGGATGTTCCAAAAACCTTCACAATCAGTGAATCACTATTGAAATAACATGACTGCTGTTATGTTGACAAATGCAGCAACAATTTTAAAGCAAGTTCCGACCAATTCTAAATTATTAACTGATCTGTCAATCTGTTTCTGGCTAATGAGTTAATGTTGCTCAGAATGCTAGAAGAACACCCTGTTCTTTTTCAAATCGTGTCATTGGAATCTTTTATACCCTCCTGAACAGACCAATGGCACCTCCACCAATGCATTTGTGCTTATTCGGTTGTTGCTTAAATCCTCACTGTAGTTCCCAACTACTTGTGTTTTGATGATGTTTTGATTGGCTGCTCGTGTGACATGTGCAGCTCTTTAAGAGACAGACAGTTACCATTTCAGATTATCATGTGCTATAAACCTCTTCTCTGAACGTGGATGGGGTGCTTTTATTGCTACCTTGGGCTCCTGGTGTCAATGGGAATAGGAAATATTCTTATTGCAAGAGAAGCACAGCAAGAAATTTGCTGCATTTAAGATTTCTTTCATTATTTCAGATCTAATTCTGCCCTTTGATTCTAACAGATGAGGTGATAGGGACATTGGTCAGGGGTTGGGGAGAGATGAGAAGAGTTCGCACGGTTGGCTGTTCAGTTATAAGCAAAGAGTTTTGGCCAAAAATGTAGGTCAGAAACTCCACATTGATCTTGCACATTTCTAGCTTTTGCAAAGAAGCATTTTGAAGTGTGCTGGAAACCCCTATGAGCCTGTAGGGTCAATATTTAAATATTCGAACAAATTTGGTAATAAGTTAGCTTGTTGGCTACAATTGCCACTGTACGGGTTTCTGCTATATGGAATTTGCCGGTGGTGAACAAGACAAAAGTATAACTTGGAGTAATTGATAAATAAAATTGATTGGAAAATCTTTGAACAGTGAAACTGCATAATAACTGGCTGCCTTTGTTAAAAAAAAGGTTCATTGTCGTTGTCTGGGAATCTAATCTCAGGAATCTGATTTCCATTAACTTTGGGCTCTACTTCCCGCTATCAGCCTTCATCGTAATGTGCGAGTAATAGATATATTCTCACCAACCTGTTGAGATGTTATGACATGCCTCTGGAAGACGTAGGACTTGAACTCAGGCCTTCTGGTCTCGCAGTAGGGACACTACTACTTCACCACACCCTAATCAGGAAGTGATATGCTGTTCTGGAATAGACTTTTGATGATGAACAGGTTGAGAAACCACAACATCAACATATAGGAACATACCAAAAACTCCAGGAGCAGCAATAACACCAAACATTAGCTGGTTTCTCTACAACCATGTACTGTTCTCCAGATTAGTAGGGCTGAGCACAGAGCTCCAGCTTGAAGAAAGCAATAACACCAGATCAGGATATGTAGGCAGGGGTTCAGTTTGCTCAATGTGGAGAAACAATGACTCAAGAGACTAAGTGTCTCATTGCATCTGCAGTTTTGCTGGCATCTGCAGCCTCCTGGAAAAGGACATCCTTTCAAGACGGCCAGATGAGTTACTGGCAGTCAAGGTTAAAAATGTCCCGAATTTAGTTTCTTCATTCCAGGGATCTGCCAGTGAATCTTCTGGATCTCACAACTTGCTGCCCACAGTGTATCACTCAAGTGGCCAATTCTGTGTTTTCCAGGTCCGCAAATTATACCCAGTTGACACTGAGAGAGACTCGCATGCAGCAATACATTCAGATTGTTGTGGATGGATTCATTCAATTAAAGAACCGTTGACTGTACACATGTGACAATCATGGTGCCCGCAGTAAGCCTACGTTAATATTTTGGAAAAAGTAACAAAATCTCCGTATGTAGTTGAATGTGACTACAAAAGGGTTATTTTGCATGTCTGTGCAAAATGATCCAGGTAGCTACCATCATTCTTTAATAATGCACCAGTCACATTACTTAAAGATATTACTCCTCCATACAGTGTGAACAGATAGTTCCAAAGGACCAATAGTAACCTCTAGCAGGACCCTACGACTGATGCAGGTAAAAAGTACAACAGAAGTGACATGGATGATGAATGAACAAACCATCAGCTGTTGAAGATGCAATTCAGATACAATTCAAATTTAAATGAGAGCTTCTATTTGCTCTAGCAAGTATTCTCAGGATAAACTTCTGTTCCAACCCCAACATAAATCATTGCCGCAGTTCAAAAGCCAAAGATTCTATTTGTATATTTCTGTCTTCTTCTAATCTGACCACCAGATTTCCAACTCACTGCTGGCAATGGCCCAAGTTCCAAGTGGGTCTGTTGTAATAAAATTCAAATGATAGGGGCTGTTGTGATGCAATATAATGTGTCAGTATTTCCAAGCAAGAAGACTCGGTTTCAAGTCCCACCTGTTCTAAAGGTGTTGTCATTACATAACTGAACAAGTTGATATAGAAATACGTAAATTTCAATGCAAAAGTCCTGTGACACAGCAACAAAAGCCTGTAGTTTGGAAGCCATTTGCAGTATGTGCCACCAATATTTTGATTCAGTTCCTCTCTGTTGCTTTCATTGTCAGTAATTCACTGTTGAGTTGAGAACTTCTTGGTAACATAACTGATGTCAGTGTGGCCAGATTAATTCTTGGCTTTGACTTCCAGTTAAACCCAACTGCTGTCTCAATACCACACATTGTGAGTTACTTAGAGTTGGGGATGGCTTTCTGATCCAATTAGTAAATCGTTATAAAAGCTCTTATGCTGGAATGAGTTTCCAGGGCATCAAGCAACTGGAAATGGCTCCTTAGCAACACCACGCAACCATAGCAGCAAGTAATAACAAACAGCTGTCAATTGCTCATCATGAGGAAATCTGCTGTTAATGATGAGATTGGGAAAGAGTGGGTGATTGCTGATAACAGTCACTATCTCCAAGGAATTGAAAATTAATCATTAGACACTCTTACTCTAAAAACAAACCTGAAACTCAATGCTTGTGATGAATTCTAAATAGAACTTTTTTGACTGACAGGAGATTACTCAGTAAATAGATGACAATTGCTACCTTTGCTGAACCCCTAATTTTTTTTATTCGTTCATGGGATGAGGGTGTCACTGACCAGGCCAGCATTAATTGCCCATCCATAATTGCCCAGAGGGCAGTTAAGAGTCCACCATATTGCTGTGGGTCTGGAGTCGCATGTAGGCCAGACCAGGTGAGATGGCCAGGTGAGATTTCTTTCTTTAAATGACATTAGCGAACCAGATGGGTTTTTCCACTAGTCGACAATGGATTCATGGTTGTCATTAAACTCCCAATTCCAAACTTTTATTGAATTCAAATTCTATCATCTACCATGGCAAAATTCAAACTCTGGACTCCAGAACTTTATCTAGGTCTCTGGTTTAACAGTCCAATGATAATATCACTACCACACCTCTTCCAGATATGCTCACCTTGAAGAAGTTTTGCTGCTCCCTTGGACGGGATTTACATTCTAACCTTTCTTCTTGTTCTCCATCATTAGTCACTTATTCAGCTTCTCTTCTATTCTGGTCTGCTATCCATAATCTCCTTGTTTACCCTTTCATATCTCTCTGGGCTCCATCTCCATCTATCCGTTCACCTCTACCTCCCACTTCAATTTCAGGATAAATGCCACTTTCTCCTAGCTACTAGCAGTTCTGATGAAGAATACTGGACTTGAAATGTTAACTCTGCTTTCTTCCCACAGATGCTGCCAGTTCTGCTGAGTTTCTCCAGCAATTTTTGTTTTTGTTACAGAATAGGTGACCATATGCCTGGTCAAAGTGATGAGTTAAGCAGAATCTTGAAGGATTGTAGCAAGCTGGAGGGTAAAAGATTTTGGGGAACATTCTGATTCAGAGGACTAGGCAAAGTTGGCTTTGCCTTTAATAATGTGGGATAGAGGAGGCAGATGGTTTGGGGAGGAGCTACTTCTAACCAATTATAGGATGTGAGTATCACTGGCTAGTTGAGCGTTATTACCCATCCCTAATCACCCTAGAGAAGGTGGTGGTGAGCACCTCTCTTGAGCTACCACAGTCCATGGAATGTAGGTACATCCATAGTACTCTTGAGAAGAGAATCTCAAAGCTTTGATCCAACAGTGAAGAAGCAGTGATCTTGGTTCTGAGTCAGGATTTTCTGTTGCTTGGGTTGGAATGTGCAGTGGAGGCATTGATGTTGTGGGGATGCCACTTGACTAATAATCCAGAACCCAGGTTAATGTTCTTGGGACAACAAGGTGCAGACCTGGATGAACACAGCAGGCCAAGCAGCATCATAGGAGCAGAAAGGCTGACGTTTCAGGCCTAGACTCTTCATCAGAAAATGTTCTTGGGACATAGTTTAGAAAACTGCCATGGTGGCTGGTGAAATTTGAATTTAATATGAATAAATCTGGTCTAACAATCATATAATTGCTGCTGATTTTTGTCAAAACCCACCAACTTCACTGAGAAAATTTGTCACCATTCCCTTGTTTGACCTACATGTCACTGCGGAACCACAGCAATGTGGTTGGCCCTTATCTGTGGACAGTTAAGGTGGGCAGTAAATGTTGGCCTAGCCAACATTTCTCATGAAGTTCCAGTGGCCTTCCCATGAACAAATAAAAGTGGTCATGTTTTCATACACCTTTTTAAGTGGCAAAAGTCATGGGTTTGGAAGGTGCTGTCTAAGGAGCCTTTGTAAGTTGCTGTGGTTCATCTTATAGATGCTGCG